CCTCATATTATGATGGGATGGAGGGAATATTATGCAATATTTTATCAAATTTGTGCCCATAATTATACTAAAAATGATAGCAATGAGAGCAATATAACATGGATGATTGAGTTTATAGCTAGACATAATCCTTTCTTTGAATGTAATTGTGACCCACTGACTTTTAGTGCAGTTAATGCTATAAAAAAGCCTTTAGGTGAATCCGCGTTATTAAGAATACATGAACATTGCACGAGCAAAGTCCAGTGCATGGCAAGAGCCACTTTGGACTGAAATAAAGATCACTCCAGAATAGAACTTGCAATTTACAAAATATAAATAGAGTGATTCAAAGTTATTCATCATGTTACTATCATATTTTACAAAATTTATCATGTATCCTTATGAATCGACCAAGCCAAATTCAACGGAAAGATCACTCATGTTTAAAATATACTGAAACAAGTGGTATGTTAATTCTGATCAATACCGACCAGAATTTAATCAGAATAACTGAAATTAACGATATTTTGATTGGAACAATATGCCGCTCGCTCGCTTCATAGCTTTAGGTGGTGGAATATAATGGCACATATTGGAACGGAACCGATAAACCTGGTTTGTGTTTAGCTCAATGTATGAAATATATATGGAAAACCCACTTGCTGCTGCAGGAACATGACAAAAATGCTACAAAATAGATGCAAGTTAAGGGTGTGTTTTCTCTGCTAGTAGACAGACTAACACTTTGCTTTGTTGTTGTGATAGTTGGATCAAGCAATAATTATACTACATGGGGTCAATTGTTATAATATACAAGATTAATTGTAGTGTACTATTCTTGTTGTATTGTGCATTAATTGGGTGCCCATTTACTTTGTGAGGCAAACCATTAATTTTTATTGCAGTCTGGTAATTGTTTTATTGTATAATACCTGCTGCTAGAGGTCTGACAGTGCTTTCTATAGTAAAAAAAATACGATATTTGTTATTTAAGGTCTTTGGTGTGTAACTTTGGTCATAAGTTTATATTAGAACAAGTTTATTAACCTAATAAGTTTAAGATATTATGAAGTACATTAGTACATTTCTAAGCAGATTGCCCATACCACTTTTGCATTTTGAAATTAACTAATTTTAGAGTTATTGATTGTCAAAGTTTCAAATGTTTGACAATATCTTATTTCAGTGTTAAATATGTAATTACCGAATAGAATAATTAAGGGTTGTTCATTTATGCTAGCTGTGGCAGCACAGCCTTGCTGCTGCTGCTGCTGCCGCGGTTAATTTTTGAGTAGCTGCTACTGTTGATGCAGCCTGCAGCTGCAAAGTAGCGCAAACAATCAACACTTTAGTATACTGCGTCATAGCAAAATAGTTACTCCCCCATTTTTAAATAGCTGGCAATAGAAATCATTCATCCTCAAACTTTTATATTTTATAAAAAAAGCAAAAAAAGGCCATTTTTTGAGTAACTTAAAAGCAAAATGTCAATTTTACTCCCCAAACTTTTTCACCAGAGCACTTAACCCTTAGACAACTTTTCGTCTCATTTTATACCCAACTCTTAACAATAGTTCACCTTACTCCATGATAATATTTGGGCTTTTCGTTTATGCCTGTATAAATCATATTTTGAAATAAAATTTGATAGCATTAATATATGTATTATAACTTACCTCTCAACATTTTTTTTGTTATCGCTGTTTACATAGGTTGGAAACACCGAAACTAATTTTAACATGAAGGTTTTAACTTTCAAGCAAGTAGTTATTAAATTTTTATAAATTTGATAATGATGCCATCTATGGCTCTATAAAATTTAAGCTTAAAGTATGACTCATATAAAGATAAACAAAGAAGAGAAATGCAATTAACCAATAAAGTGAACCATTTTAATTAAATTCAGGATAAACTAAGCTTAAAAAATACTTAAGGGAATAAAGTGATCGAATATTGAAATAGTTTGAAAAAATAAGTTGGAATTTTTTGAACTAAAAGACCATGTTCAACAAAGAATAAAACTTCCATTCTCTTATGTGGTGTTTAAATCTCCTGAAGATGAAGATGAAGATGAAGATTAAGTGTTTCACGCAAAACAATGTTGTAATAATATGTGATTAATTGAGTTTTAATTATTACAAACTTAAAAAATAGATTAATCTGATATTTTAGAGCAACTTTCATATAGAAAATTTTCACACAAAACACACCGTTTAGCAGTTTGAAAAGCGTGCCACGTCCAAAATTTAATCCTCTCTTTACATAGTGTTAGGGTTAAGGAATAAGCACACTTCCATCCTCATAGTCTAATCAAACTATTGAGGAATAATTAGTGGTCAAGAAAAAAACGAATGTCTCCTAGTCAATGTTGGCAGTCTAGTGGCAGTACTACTGGAGTATTTGAAAACGAAGCGAGTAGTATAATTTTAATTTTTTAGCAGTGCATCTTTTTTTTTTCTCCCTCCATTTCTGCAAAGTCAATAATGCCCCTCGCTGTGTCCACAAACGGATAAGAGGGGTAGGGGTGGAAAAAAAACTCGTGCTCGTGAGCTTGGCTCGGGCTTGGCTTGAGTTTGGTTGGCTAGGCTCGGCTCGTAAGTCAAACGAGCCAAGCCCAAGCCATCTTTTTAGCTCGTTGCTGAAATGAGCCGAGCCGAGCTAGCTTGCGAGCCGCTTGTTTTGGCTCGCGAGCCTTAGGCATCGTGTGTTTATATCGATTATTTTACTTTATATGGCGTTATTATTTGTCAACTTAAAATTTATCATTAAGATTTTGAAGAATTGAATATATAAACTTATTTAAATTTTACATGTTAATGATTTGTTTTTACTTTTTTTAATATTTATAAAATATATATGAAGAGTCGTTTCAATAGAAAGGCTTGCAAGCCAGCTCGAACTGGCTCGAGCCAAGAAATGAGCCGAGCCGAGCTAAAGTTTTAACTTGTTTCCCTAACCAAGCCAAGCCAAACCAAATTAGTTTGTTGCGAGCTCAGCTCGGCTCGTTTCCACCCCTAAAGAGGGGCAGCGTGGAATTAGCAAGCCCAGGGAAAAAAAAAGAAGATTTTTTTTTATTTTAGCCCTCGTCTGATCGTCTCGTCTCGCGTGGCGGCGAGCGGCTGACCCGGGCGACCTCCGCCGCGCCGCACCGACCGGGCCGGGTCGGGGTCGTGTCGCGCGGTCACTCGCTCGTGGCGCGGCTTGCTGCTCTACGCGTCACCTACCGAGCTCTCGCTTTTCCGGTACTCACCGACGCACGGGACCCACCTGCCTTGGCGCGCCAACCGCCCCACGCCCCCTCTCTCGCTCTCGCTGCTGGTGGTGTGCGCAGGCAGGCGTCGCACGCGGCCCGTACCCCGTTTTGCACAAACGCACCTACCTTCGCAGCATATTGCAATATTCCGTGGATGAACCATTTTTTCTTTTCTTTTTCTTTTGTGTGTGCACCACATCCTTTTTCGAAATACTAGCTAAATGTTTATGCTTTACTATGATAAAAGAACTATATCATACTATTATCAAATACAAGTAAAACTATATAATTCATGAAATATGTTACTACCTTATCTTTTATAGGGAAACATTCACTTGATTTCATATGTGATTGTCCACGATATTTCTCTATTTTTAACATTAAATCTTTGAATGAGTAATTTGCAAAATTTACGATAGGATAAATGGGTTGGCGGGTTCACTGTCACCACCGCTATCTTTTTGCAATAAATTTCTTCGCTATTATAACTGGAAAAGGATTATTACAATATTAATGTAGAGAGATAAAAAAAATATTTTAGCCCCCAACAATCGTAGGGAGGAGACATGTGCACAGTAAATGGTAATAACAGTTAAATGGAGAAGGTTTGTAAGTTTGACAGGGAAATTTAGAGAAATACAATAGTTGCTAGAAATCCAACTTCTATATTCATAGGAAATATATACATTTAAGTATGCGTGTATTGTCATATTTAAACAATTTTATGGTTCGTTTCAGATTATTGAAATGGATTATTTACTCTAAGCTTTGGAAAATACACTCAAAGGACGCATATTTGTTAAGTTTGTTTCTTAAAGTATTCAATTTATTCATATAATTAAGTATATAATCAGTAGCAGTAATCTGCCTAATAATCCAAATCAAACATAGCTCAAGTCCAAACTCTACAGCTTTGAGTTTTCTCTAGGCTGGAGCAATACCAAACATGTCAATAGATAGATAAAGATATGTTCGATTGATGATTAACATTGCCAAACCTCATATTACATAAGGTGAAGCTTTAGGCAAAGTGTTGCAAAAAATTGTGTCTTTGAAATAGGCCGATGAAAAATATAGCTACCCATAACAATGGCATCAACTAAACAACTGCAAAACAACCACCTAAAGTTGGGATTTGGCAAGTTGAAGGCATCATCCAACCATAACATAGTTCTCCCTCCGAAAAGAAATAATACTAACATCATACTAACTCCATCCCAAAATATAATAACTTTTAGTACGAATCTAGACATGCACTTGTCCAAATTCATAGCTAAAAGTTATTACTCCCTTCATCCCAATATATAGAAATATAGTATCAGATTTGATATTTTAAAATACTACGAATCTAATCATGTTTCATATTTATATTCGTAGTACTATAAAATGTATAATGCACTTTTAGTAACTTTTAGCTACGAATCTATACATGCACTTTGTCTAAATTGATAGCTAAAATTTATTACTCCATTCATTCCAATATATAGAAACTAGCATCAGACGAATATGATCAGAGGTTTCCTGTTCATATTCATATTACTATAAAATATCTAATCTGGTATATGGCTTTCACATTTAGGACAAAGAGAGAGTACTAATCTATTTTAGGAAAGAAACAATATTACAGATAACCCTTAGGACTGAAACGCACAATTCTCCCGTATTAAACCCGTCAAATATCTAGACTTTAATTAACATAATTAATTCCAATCTATCCATCCCGTCGTCAATAATTTTGTCCCCCTGGCTCCCCCCCCCACCTTCCTCTTCCTCCCCTCAATCCCCCCTTTTCTCACGGCGTCGCGGCCCCCCCGAAATAAAGCCGTCGTCGACACCTCCCCCGAGCCGCAAGCAACCCCGCGATTCCCCCGCATCGCCGGCGAATCGGCGGCGGCGACGACGAGGACGACGAGGAGGCCATAGGGTTGTGGAGGAGGGGTGGGGGACCTGTCTTCGATGCGCGGCGCATGGCGGCGGTGAACAGCCTCTACGTCGCCGCGGCATCCACCGCGGCCAGCGCCGCGGCGCTGCAGTGGTGGGCGGGGTCCCTCCTCGACGGGGATGCCGACGCGGCGGGCGGGGGAGGAGGAGGAGGAGGAGGGGACTGGCTCGGCACGGTGCTGGGCTCGCACGTGACCGTCGCGCTCCTGGCGAATCTGGCGGCGCACGTGTTCCTCGTCCTCATCCTCTCCCTCAAGGTGAGCAATCGGTCGATCGGGAATGGGATGGGGGTTGGGATTGTTGCTGCTCAGGGCCACGCGGTCATTCGCTTAGATTGTGCTGTTTGGGGAAAAAAAAACTTTTGTCGGTTGACCACTTGTCAGTAATAATAATATAAGCAATAATAATATATGCAAGCTGATAGTTGGGAAGATGGAGGTGTTTTTTCTGCCCAAATTTGTTGATTCAAATTTGCTGCCCAATTTGTTGGTTTAATTTGCGTGCTGAAGATATGTTTGATGTTTAGGTAGAAATAAACTTAATTTGTTTAGTTAGAATGGACGTGTTTTCCTTCATTAAATCAGCTAATGACATTTTGTTTCCATGTTGTTTTTGGAATCATCAAGTGTGTGAGATAATGGAGTGATTTAGTAGGAATATTGTGCTTTAGCTGATTGCGAAGAACCACATGTTCTCAGGAGTTGCATTTCAGTTGAGTAGATGCTTATCTAAACTATGGTAGTTGGAACATATGGGGAAGTAGCAATGCCAATAGCAACTATACAACAACATGCTTGAATACAGGCTTGAACACCGCGATTCTGAAGTCTGAACTGGATATTTGTACGTAGTATTTTTGTTGCTCGATGCTAGAGGATTTCTGTTATGTGGTATTTTTGTTGCTCGATGCTAGAGGATTTTTGTTACGTTAAGCGGTTCTGAAATCTGAACTGGATATTTGTATGTGGTACTTTTGTTGTTCGATGCTAGAGGATTTCTGTTACGTCTCTGAATGGCTGTTATATGGCTTTGATAGAGCAAGAGCTAAGCTGACAGTGTGTGACTTGGTTCGTTGCGATTTCCTTCTAGACTCATTTTTGTGCATGTGGTTTAATATTCATGTAAGAACTTGTATTGATACATCCACTTCTTGATTCATGTCGTAAACTGGCTGTACTTAATTATTTTTACTTCCATAGGAATCTTTAAAAGGAGCATTAGAGTTTGACCCAATTTTGTAGTTCAATCAAAGCATTTTGTCTGTTGGAAAAGCTCGTCCTCCATGTATGCATACAGTTTGCATTGCAAACATGATAACTATGTTATATAAAAACACTATTTCATAGAGGAAGCTAAACTTCTAGTCTGCTATCCTAGTTTAGATTCTTAGTGACTTATATATGAGAGAAAGGATGGTTCATACTATTACAAAGCCAGGTGTCCAGGTGACCTTTTTGAAGGCACAAGGCAGGGCATTGTTCTTCCTCCATTGTTCCAATCCATGATTTAGCGGAAACCATTTTACCTGAGCATCCAGATTTCTTTTAATGATTTTTAGTAAAGAGGATGTTGCAGCTTAGCTTATATTTAACGTATGCATATCATATTAGCAATAGTGGCGTTAATGTTGTTTTTTCTTTTATGCAGACACTATTTTTTGTTCAATTAACCTCTTCTGAGACTAGAAAGGTGTTGGAACACATCATTAACTATGTGCTTTACAAGGTAAGCGCTCTATCCATCTCTCTCTCTGTGTGCGCATGCGCTCCCCTTTTCTCCTGACTTTCTGCTGATAAGCTCGTAGTCTTCAACACAAGAGACTTGCTCTAAAATGATGTTTGCAATATATGCTTTAGTGAATTTAAAGCAGCTTGATAGTGAGTTCTTTTAAATTAGATAATATGCAGTCTTACACTTTGTTCAATAACTATCAGCCATAATACATGTACAATCTAATTTAGATCTAATCCTATCTCCTTGAGAATCTTAGCACAAGTCCAATACGTGGATACTCTGATCTTTCATAGATATAAGGGTTTTTGGAGGGATGTGATGCATCCTAGTACTACGAATCTAGACATGGAGTCTGTCCAGATTCGTAGTACTAGGATGTGTCACATCCCCCCAAAAACCCTTATATTTTGGGATGGAGGGAGTAGAAGTTTCCATGCCCTTTTGTAGAAGTGAAGACTACGATTTACAAGTTGGAAAAGTAAACCGGGAGATTTGATCGTATACCCTCCTTTAAATCAAAAGTTGAGGATTTAGCCTCCTATGCCATTGACATGTGGGGTCATCAACCTAACTTGTGGGCCAGGAGGGTACATCCTCAATTTCAATCTTAAGGCCATGTTCGGTTAATCCCCAGGAGGGAGGGATTGGAGGGGATTTATTCCACACCTATTGTGGTGTGGAATTATTACACCTCAAACCCCTCCAATCCCCTTCAACCCCTTCCAAACCGAACAAGCCCTAAGGGAGGATGTATGATCAATTTACAGTTATTTATTTATGTTCTTGTTGTTGCCTGCCATGTGAAGAAATGCCAATGATCTCTCTCGTATTCCAGGGAACTTTTCTCCCACTGGTTGTGCCTCCTAATTCTCAACAAATAATCCTTTGGTCAAGTTGGTTGGGCCTTCTTTGTTCCCTGAAGGTAATGTTTTAGAACTTCAAGTCTTCAACTAGTTAAGATTATACCCTTACATTAACTAAAATTTCTCGTACATCCAGATGTTTCAATCATTGGCTAGAGAACGCCTTGAACAGCTCAATGCTTCACCATCAGCGACTCCATCAAAATACTTTCGTGTATATTCTGCACTATTGCTGGTTCTATCGGCTGATGTACTATGGTAATATTCCCTGGTTAGTCTGCATTTTACTGTTTTTTGTTTAGAAATATTATTTACACATAATTTTTTCTTTGCTTAGGTGTTGGGTACACTTAAATTTATTTTGATTTTGTAGATGTCAGAGATGCATGATGTCACTTACTCACTTCCAACATGAAATTATTGTCCCTTACAATTTCTTGCAACTTGCAACTTCTGTTATAAACTTACTCTGTCCGGTCAAATTATTTGTCATTTAGAGATGCACTTGATAGTGCAGTGGCAAGGGGTGTGTGGTTTCAACCCTAAGATCCCTTGTTCAATCCCCAACACTCTCACAATTTCTTCTTAAAAAAAGTTTGGAGGGACATCTCTCACTCCAAATCTCGTTTATTTGGTCCTGCAACGGCTTGGCTACTCTAGCTTTCCAACCCAAGATACTGCTAGGTTTGCCAATTGGTGGTCAAGAACAGTAAGGGGTTTACCTGATAATGAGAAGGAAGGGCTAAACTCTTTAGGGCCCCTTTGAATTGGAGGAAAAACATAGGAATTTTGGAGGATTTCAATCCTATAGGAAAATCTCCTATGAAGCCCTTTGAAACAAAGGATTGAATCATATCCAATCCTTTAAAATTCCTATGGAATGGACAATCCTATAGAGATTTTGGAGGAAATTTAGCAAGAGCTTCAACCTCTTGGTAACTTTCTTTGAGTCTATCTCTCTCATCCAATTCCTGCGTTTTTCCTGTGGTTCAATCAAACGGTCATTCCTGTGTTTTTCCTAAGTTTTGCAATCCTCTGTTTTACACTTACATTCCTATCAGAATCCTACGTTTTTCCTATTCCTACGTTTTCTCAATCCTGCAATCCTATCAGAATCCTACGTTAATCATCTTGGTTGCTTGGGAAATTTGGAAGCACAGGAACAATTGTGTTTTTAATGGTGCCACCCCATGCTTGGTTGATGTCCTCCAAGCCATCGCTAATGAGGGTGCTCTTTGGTGCCTAGCAGGAGCTGCTAGGCTTCGTGATCTCTTTACTAGGGCTGTGCTGCTAATGCACTAGTTTGTTTTACTTCCTTTGGGTGTGTGGTGTTCTATTGTACCCTTGGTGGCGGGTGTCGGAGTCTTTCTCTAACACCGTCCACCTTTTCTCCTTTTTCTTAATGAAATGATATGCAGATCTCCTGCGTGTTCTAAAAAAAATATTTGTCATTTAGGACAAGATTTGGTCAAACTTTTAAAATTCTGACCATCAATAATTTCTTAAATGCTTAGTTTAAAAAAGAAAACAAATGATATACATAGATTTGCCTCAAAAAGTACTTTCATAATATCATGAACTTATTAGACTTTATAAATTTATTCACATAAAATTGTATTCGGAATTTTAAAAGTTTGTCCAAATCTGGTCCTAAAACGACAAATATTTTTGACCAGAGGGAGTATAATGGAATGAGTTGTATTGATGCTTGAGTTTACCACATTTCCTTTTGTTATGGTGTCCTTGACACAACTGTAGCATGTAATACTTTTAAAAGCTCACACTTAATTGATTGTCTATCTTCTCCAGGATAAAGCTTTGTGTTGGGTTCTGCAAGTCGTGTAATTCTCAACTATTTTGGCTTATGTTTTTTGAGCCACTTAGTATTGGCTTTGAGACACTGCAGGTACTTCAACCCAGATTGTGGGAAGTTTCTCCTCCTTATCTTTTCTTAATTTATAACGATCTTGCATTATCAAAGAAATCTGCATTGCATTTAATGTTCAAAGGAGGTGGTGCTTATAAATGCCAACTAGAGATGTTAAAAATATTATGAGCATTTACCTGCATGCAGTTATTACTTCTGAATATCTTCAACCTTTTCTCACATAGTATTTTCCTAGCAGTCAATCATGGTGCATGGATTTCAGTTGTTTGACATATGGCAACGACATCAAATGGACAGTGGTGTGGACTATCTTGATTTCCAAAAAACTTATAAGCAAGCAGCAGGTGATAAGCGTGTCTTCGCTGCTCAGAGACTCATTTAATTCAGTTTAGTAAACCCTCTAGGGCTGAGCATGCAGGATAATGCTGTATGAGTTTCGTGGTTAACCGGTTATTACTAACCTAGACAAGAATGCAAACACCAGATTCAGTGAATGAAAAAAAAAATCCTAGAACGCATACAGTAAACTATTTTATCTTTCACTGGTAACATATCTATGAATATTTAGATTGGTCACAAAGAAAAAACATGTATATTGATCTCAATAATCGGTTTTATATAAATTGCTGATCTTTTTTTTCCAAGGCCATGCCAATGGTAAAAAACAGAACCTTTTTTTTTTCCTGACAGGCCGGAGTATATAACAGAGGTTTCATTCACTCATCTGACATTTGTTATGTTGGTCTGGTCTGTTTGTAATACTGTAAATTTTGCTCTATGATCTGTTGGAACATTAATTTAGTTCAGGTTGAGCAGTCCATGTCTCATTTCTTGTACATGCGTCTCTTGAATTATCTCAACTTTACCACCAGGGTCCAATCATGCTTTGTAACTGCAGGATCTTTTTCTGAGTGGAGAGGCAGACTAGTCAGAAATTTTGGTTTTGTCATTGACTTGATAAGCTTATTGATGTCACTTGGTCATTACTCAATGATCTTCTGGCTCCGTGGTATGGCGTTTCATCTGGTTGACGCTGTTCTCCTATTGAACTTGCGCGTGAGTGTGACATTCACTTGTTAACTTCGATAAACTTTAAATAAATATGTATGATGTACTGACTGGAATTCTTTGAAAATGTTTGCAGGCTCTTATAGCTTCATTTTGGAAGCGGATAAAAACTTATGCCAAGTTACGAAAGGCACTTAGTTCACTCGACGGAGCACTTCCAGATGCTACATATGATGAAATCTGTGCATACGACGATGAGTGTGCCATCTGTAGGGTAAACAATTTCTAGATTTTCACAGGATCTGTAGTGTTTTGAGTGCTTGTGTATCTGATTTTCTTTTGAAATCTGCAACTCCTAGGGACCAATGGCTCGAGCTAAAAAGTTATCCTGCAACCATCTATTTCATCTAGCTTGCTTGCGATCATGGTACGCGATGAGTTCCTTTTACTATTTTGCAATTGATGGTCTGTGGTTCAATTTTATTATAGCTCATAATGTCCTACCAAAAAAAAAACTTTAAGTAGATTCATTTTCATTTTCTGGAAATTGTGCTCCCACTATTTGCATAAGGACTGCAGGCTGTAGTTATGAACAGACTCCATATGCCGTCATAACTGTCCATTTGATCTTATGCATTCCAAATTTACTTATTAAAATACGGGACCAACATTCCTATTTTACGGTTGACTTAAATTTTTCTGTCATGGAATCTCTGCATAAGGAAAATTGATATTGCTGAGCATGGTGGATGGTCCTTCTGTTAACCTTCTTAGCAAATTATTAGTCAGATTCTCACAAATATCTTTGACGAGATTGAAGCTTGCCAGCAAGCTGATGTGAAGAAGTTGCAGTTGTTAGTCATTAGTAACAGATCATAGTATTACTTGTATTTCAGCTTAGACTGTTGTTCAGCTCCCTTTGTTGCTCTTTCGTACAACTGTACTGACCTCTGCTTCTCACTTAGTACAAAAATATGCAACACTTCTACACCCACAAAAGTAGATATGCTTAGCAATTGTGTATAGCTTCACATCTTACCATCAAATGTGACCACATCAAATTGCATTCTATGTTTGATTTTTCCCTTAAGTATTGTTGCTATGTGTAGGTTGGACCAAGGATTAATGGATGGTTACTCATGTCCAACTTGTCGAAGACCTCTCTTTCTGTCATCTCAAGGTCACACAAGATCTACAGCAGAGGTAGGAAACGTCCAGTTAATTGCAGAACAACTTAATGCGGGGTTGAATCAGCAGAGGGTTCCTGGTCATGAACATCCTATTGAACATCAGAATCCTGCAGATGCTGTTTGGAGGTGTGTATAACAAACTTGGAATGATCTATTTTCTTATTCTTCACATTGCTCATCATATTCATGTTATAACAATGTCTTGTCAAATTATTGATGTGATTTGGGGTAAATTCAATGAACCTATTCATGTCTTGTCAAAACTTCAAAACTATCACAAACCTACACCTTTAAGGACCCATCTTACGATAGTTTTTGTGCTCGATTTTATGAAATCACTACATCCCATCAGTCCCACATATTAGCTAACAATGTGGATCCACAAGTCAGCCTGACAGCCTCCCATCATTTGTTACTCAATGCTAGCTGGATAGCCAGTTGCAACCTTCAGGCAGGCCTAGCTATATATAGAGAGAGATAATATGGAAGAGAAGGCAGCTAATGTGGAAATCAGCAGTGCAAAGACTAAATGGGAGCTTAGAGGAGCAAAAACAGCAGGTGCCTCTGAGGAGGCTGCTCTGCAGTTTGTGCCAATGAAGAAACAACCAACTGCATCTGTTGCTTACTCAGAGTGAGTATGCCACTCTATGACCTCTTCGTTTACCAGTTTCTTGCCTCCTCACCAGCATGCTCTATGTGTTCCATAAGCGCTTCCTGCATGTGTTTCTACATCAACAAGAGTACGGGAATGAACAAAAAATATGAGAAAAGAAAAGGTTAACTTTTGCTGTCTAGAAAACCCCTGTACATTGGAGCCATCATTGATTCCTGAGGTGCTGGATCAAACTTTCTCAGAAATTTTATCTTTGAACATCCTATTGTAATGCCTTTTGTCCAGCATCCGAGCTAATTCCACTACATTCTTGGTGATCAGTTGTTGTATGGTAGATTGAACTTGACATAATTGTAGAGTTCCTCCCAACTATCTCATTTCAACTGCCAATTCATTAATTTACAACTGCCTAAGCAAATATAATTTATCACAAAAGCCGCCTGATTTACCCTGGTAGCTGTTGGAACGATGGAGTATGTAGAGATAATATGATCAGGATCTTGGACTGTTCCTGGCACTGGTTGTGGGCTGTGGCACTTGGCAAGGATGATCCTTGGTGGTATGCGTGGGCAATGCCAACAAGTGTTATCTCGCAGCTTATAAGTCTTAGGGAGGGTGGTGATCTCACACAGGGTAAAGAAGCGAGAGGCTATCTTTCTGCTGCAGTGCCAAATTGCTTACCAGATTACTGTAGTGTAGGTGGTGGCTGTCGTGGCAAAGACAGTGCAGCAGAGATCATGTCCAATTGTCCCTGTCGCTGTTTACCGTGAATCCCTTGTGTGTGCCATAGGCTGATGTGCACGAACACCTTCCACCTCACCCCTAGCGGTCGACTCCATTATGCATGCTAGATCTGAATTGAGCACACATCCTGCTCAGACAAGGAGGAAGATATGCCCTTTTCGGAGATAGAAGGAAGAGGAAGATATGCTCTTTTTGCTGAAAGAAGGAAGATGATGATGGCTTGTAGAACAGCACAATAGAGTGCACTCACAGGAGGGAAAATCCTAAATTTGTCATTCCTTTCATTCTTCGCCAACATGGCCACATTCATAGCACTATCACTTCTATGTGAAGTTCTCAGGAAACATCATTGTCCCCTTCTCATATCTGGCTACCATTGCCTCACCTAAGCACCATATCTCTGCAGCTCATTTGTCACAAAACATATTTTTCCCAGCCCATATTCATCTGCCGTGACCGTGAACATAACCAAGATCAGCATTGTGCTACCATGTTGATGCTCCACTCATGCATGTCTTCCCTATTCTTCGCCCCTGGTGTTCATTGTCACAACTTAAGCTCATTTTATAAAGTGATTGGGCAAATGTCTGACATTATATCGTTATTTGAAACTAGGCCTTGATAGACTACCTCAGTTATTTGAGTGTATGAATGGTATAGTTTGAGGGCATTTTTAATTTCCTGTTCTCTTTCAAGTTACTACCCTCGCAAAGATTTTGTTAGCCTTATGGCATGCACATTTTCTATCTAGATACTGTGATAATCTTTAATCCGATGAAGCTATTGTTTGTTGTAATGTATCACTTAATGGTGGTCCTAGTTTGTGGTTCAATTGAAGTTTTAAATGGGTATGAAAGCGAGTTTACCAGGCCTAGTTGATCTAAAGAAAAAGGAAGAATAATAGCCATAGTTTCATTTCCTAATGGACTTTATCTTTGTTCATAATGATGAACCAAAGTCTTTCAATGCATCTTTTCGAATCTTATTCATTCTAGGTGAAACTAAGTAGGTTTAGTATGTCAAACTGATGGTGCTCACCTGCCTATTACCATCATTATTTTGAATATTTTGTTCCAGTCAGATTGATTTATACTGGCAGGTTTAGCATATTTTTAGGATTGAATCTTGATTGAACATTGAAATTGTAACCTGGTAGTAATAAAGACTTACCAAAGGAAACATAATTTTGAAAACTTGGCAAAGAAGGGATCCCCAAAGATGACTAAAACTCATGCTCACTCAAAATTACCAGAAGATATATGTTTTATCTTCCTATTAATCACCTATACAACAAAATGCTGATCCTGTGTGCAAATACGTATCCAATACATGGATGTGGTGGGATACAACTTACAAGGGGATATGGTATCGGGTATTGTTGATTTGTTTAATTTCCAAAATAATTTGAATAAGTAATGATATTTTCCTGGTACTTTTGTACCTTTGATATAGTGTGCGTTTAGCTCCTGTTCTCGCTCCCCCAACTTCCTGACCATCAAAAACGCATTATCTCCTGGCCGCTTGCTACCAGCTCTTCCATATTGCAACTATGCAAGGGAGAATTCTACCTTGATTCGTGGCAGTGAGGCAGAAGAGGTAGGTCGAGGATAGAGAGCAGGGGGGCAGGGGGAGTGGGGAGAGTAATTGTGAGGGTAGAGAAACCTAGATGGAGAAAGAGGTGAAGCTGCTACTGTCTTGCATACACATGGAGTCAGAGATAAGGGGCTAAGTTTTATAGAGCACATCTGTGCAGGTTTGGTTGGTTGGGCTGGAAAGGGCCGAAAGAGACGCATACACTCATGCGTGCAGGTGGGTTGGATGGGTCAAACTGGTCCATCTCTCGTCTATTCCTTTTATTTCTTATGGTTGCCTGATGGCTCTTCTGTGCCTACTTGTATTGTATATGCAGTATGACTTATCTCTCAGATGCTATTATAATTTAGCACACATACACTTGCTATATCAGTGAATCCTCGTTTTTGGAAATTGTTTGTTGATCACCATAACCCTATAGTTGTACTGCTATGCATACGATTCTGCAGCACTGATGCATAGGTGTTGGGTGGTGCAGAGGTGCTGGTCTTGATTCTAGCTGGGCACCACCATGGTCGAGCCCTGGGATGGACAATCCCAGTTCTTCCAGCGCCGTGACATCAGTGGGGCTTAGTGGAGTTCAGATGATGATGAGGCAGTTGACTTCAGTGACTGATAATTATGGGCATCCAGATGCCACCTGGAGTCTATGGCCTGAGCCAGTTGCAGGATCTTCGGTTGTTCCATCCTCTTCCTCGAGGCCTGATGGTGCTTCAGCTGCTGGCTTGCGGTTCCGAGGCACTGCAAGACCCGCGAATGGTAGCATGTCGGAGGTTCTCTCCATGGTAGATAGAGTACGAGAAGTTTTACCCCATATCCCTGACGAGCTAATTATTGAGGTACACTTCTATTTCCTCTCAACTCTAGTTTTAGCTATTACCTTACGCACTGGTATGCACTGATGTTTTTTCTTCACCAATTTGTAGGATCTGATGAGAACAAATAATATAAACGCTACTGTAAATAATCTTCTGCTGATGCAATAAAAGATAAACCAGCAATACAACATATAAGCACGATGTTTACCGGCTATAAGTTCATATATGAAAGGATGTATAGTTAAGTTAAAGACGAACCTGGGTGTCCAAGCACCTCTTGGTTCTTGTAATAAGTGTTTTTTTTAGTTTATTTCTTCCCAATGTACTAAAATGCCCCGGCTTTGTATAGTAATCACAGCTGTATAATATTATGCTCAATATGGCGTAGGATAGCATGTGTAGAAGATGTTATCATCCAAATAAAAGTGTGTTTGTCATCCCAATAAAATTATTTGTCGATGAGAGCCAATGAATAGTGAAAACGTCTAAACGTGTGCTGCTGTTCTTGTGTGCCTCCTTCATTGGATATGAAACGCTGACAGCTGTTTGATGGACATCTGATAAACTGTCTTTAATCTTCGTTTTCTACCTCCTAGTGGGTTTTTTTTTTTGTAATATGTTACTGGTTTTGTAAATTGCATAATATCTCCTTAATATCGGAGTCTGCCAGATATGTTGCATGGTTTCTTCCCCCTTTTTTTTTGGTATGAAACTGATGCGTGTTGATCTTGATTAAAACAAGATTGATATCATATTGTTGAAGTGTTTTCAACCGTCCTGGAGTCTCATCATACATTCATGCATAACCGTGTCCACAGTTAGGCACCAAATGCAAGAAAGATTGATATGTTCACACCAAGGCCTGATATATGCTAAAATAGGAACCACACCAAGGCACTACATTTTTAAGAATTACACAGTACACTACTCGCACTTAATTAACTTAGACTATTATACTTACAATCATCAGTCAGAATCGAACTAATAGAACCTGGAAAAATAGAAAGCCAGGTGGTAAAACTACTCGAAGACTCTCCTTGAGCTAATCTGTGACCCTTGCGCTTTCGAAATAACTCAGCTTTATCTTCAGGTCTTGGGCCAAAGTCCTACAAATCTATCTGTTAACTTTCCTCTAAGCATCTCCGGATTTGCTATAAATCTTTCGACAGATTTTTTAGTTACACATCTGTCAATTTTCTGGCCGTAGGATTTGTGTCAAGATTCGTGCTGTACTGGTGGGAAAATATAAAACAGATGCCCACATGTGAGATCGATCTCGCGGCCTGCGCTTCCCGCTAGAACCACTACGACCAACCGAGCAAGCATGCAATGCTGGAAAATAGTTCCCTCAAAAAATATATATACAATAAATATTGATTAGAGTTACAACGATAAACTTACATCGTAACTATTATGTAATTCTAGAAAATACAGTGTAACTTTATATAATTAAAGTGTAACTATTATAAAATTACAGTATAACTTTTATGTAATTGTAGTGTAACTATTATGTAATTGCAATGTAACTATACTGTAATTATACTGTAGCTAATATGACTATAATGTAACTGCATGTAACTTTTTAAGTAGATGTATTAGTAATATTTATTCATTCATCTCGGGTTTTTTCTAGACAATCAAAATGAAGGGATGTCTTGGCTTTTTTTTTTTCTTCACCGAGCAATCGGTTAGAACGATTAACTAGTAAAGTCGTTCACTCGGCAACGTGTCATCCGGATAGACGTTGAAAAATCTAAGTGAAATGGATGACAAAAATCATTCGAATGTTTGCTAGACACTCCCACCATTCTCGGTCGGTCACTTCCAAAGAATCAGTCTCAATAATTAGTTTAGATACTCCTAACTCCCTTACAATATTAGTCGCTCTGCGATAAGGTAGAATTTTCGCCATGGTAGCATCCTAATCCTTAGATGATATTGTTAAGGTGTTTGAATCTTCTAAAGATGAAGATGAAGATGTAGATTAAGTGTTTCACGCAAAACGAGGTGGTAATAACGTGTGATTAACTGAGTTTTAATTATTACAAACTTGAAAAATAGATTAATCTGATATTTTAGAACAACTTTCATATAAAAAGTTTTTGCACGGAACATACCGTTTAGCAGTTTAAAAAGCGCGCCACTTTAATCCGAAATTTAATCCACCTTTTCAGGACATTCGAATGGGGCAGAAAATCTCCGCGGTCATTTCGCAAGACTACCACCGCTGCTCCAAACTAGTGTGCCATCACAAAAACGCCCCATCAGTATTCGCCTTCACCCAACCAATCTAAAAGTAAAGAACTAGCCGTGCACCTAATGTTTGGACACAGTAAATTCCATTATGCACACACAACTCATAACACGTAATAAGAGAATATGTTGTTTCTATTATACATGAATAGAAAAAGTGTATTCTTGTTGCCAACAAATTGCATCAATACAACTTACAAATTACAAAAATGAAAAGTTGAAGATATAAGCAGAAGAAAAATAGAATGAAATGAAGGAATTATATATAATAGGATAATAATACTTGGACGACATCAATGTCGTATAACAACGTATAAATAGTCGATCAAAACGGTATATATATATATGTATGTGTTTTTTTTTGCGAGGATCAAAACGTACGTAGGGTAAATTTAAGCGGACATAAACCCCATAATTGATGATATATTAACCCATGGGCATATATATATGCATGGATCTGGGGTTGAATAAGGCGATCGACGTTGGGAATGAATTAATTAATCTGGTGGTGTTGGATGATGAAATGATATGATCATCAGTGAGCTCTGGCTCTGATGATGTCGAGGCTCATCTCGCTGGGGTCTGTGGCCTGAATCTCGCACTGGATTCCGTCCAGCTCCCTCCTGAACCTGTCCTTGGAGCTCGCGTACAGCATCTTGCTCCTTGTCCTCGCCGTGTCAGGCGACCTACACATACATGCATGGCACTTTCTGTGATCTTTACTGGTATAACAGAAATGATACCTCATCGAAATGAAATTGAACTTAGCCACGCATATTAATTTCGATGGTATAGCTATATAGGGGAATGAATTCTAAAACTCTCTGTCGTTCTTTTCTTGCATCTTGTCCCTTTTAGTAATGAAAAATTTAGTAAAAAAAGTTATCAAGATAGATTATTATATACACAAATATACTATTCAAATTCAACCTTTACGATTTGTAAAAAGCAAAAAAATTAAACTCTAGCTAAGATGCGTGTATTCAGTCATATTTGTTTTTCTTTTGCACCTTGTTGAAGTCAGGTTCAAATTAATGATATATCACATATTAATATATCTTATTAATATTTTAATTTTTTTTAACTATTTAGACGTGAGAAATGAGAGGACGTCCCCTCAAAAGATTAGGATATATTTTTAAGTACCCATACCAGGAGAAGAAGAAGATCTTGCTCTTCTGGCAGTTCTCGTCGGTGACGAAGTCGAGGTCGTAGACGGCGTAGCGGCACTCGTCGGCGGGGAGGGTGGCGGCGAAGTCCTCGTAGCCCTCGGCAGTCTGCCCGAGCCTCTCCACCTTGATCTCCATGGCCTTGTCGTCGATCTTGAACACGATGAACCTGAACCCCCTCCTCGTCTTCAGCTCCTGGAACTTGAACTTGCACTCGTCGTTCACCGCCAGCCCTGACGCAGAATTCGCCTGCCATTCTCAAATCAAATCACTCTATTAATTTTTTTTTTGCGGGGGAAATCACTCTATTAATTGCAATTCATCATTGACCATGCAAGAAACTGAAATTGCAATTGTGCTTAATTTGTAGCGAGAGAGAGAGAGAGAGAGAGAAAGAAAGAGGAGATCGATCACCATTGGTGCTCCTGCGAGTGAGTTCTTCTTCTTCTTCCTCCTTTGCGCGGTAATGCGAATGGAGGGAGAGGTTGGAGGGGAGAGGATGGCAATGGTAGGCAAGCTAGCTAGGAAGCTTTTGCTAGGGATCGGAGGAGGAGCGGACAATGCGCTGCGTTTCGCGAGAGGAACGCGGCGAGGAGGAGAGATAATTTAAGGCGATTGCAGTTGCAGAGATTGATATGATGCCATGCACGTCCTCCTCTCTGTGTGTGCGTGTGTGTGTGGTGAAGGGAAAATATGGAGGCAATGGTTGACTTGGTCGCTTGATTCCTCTCTTTCTCTTTGTTTATGTTTAGGCCTTGGCCTTGGCCTGCCAGCCCTAAAGACATGTTCCCCACACCTTCTCCTGCATGCAATGCAAGCATGGCCATGGCCATGGCTGCCTCTCACAAAGATAATCATGGAGGTGAGATCGATCAAATAGTTGGTTGCAACTTACATGATCAGATGATGATGATGATATAGTTTGCATTATTACATATCCAATTGTTTTCTACCTTGAATAAACTTTGAAGGCGTTTTTTTTAAAGAAGAGAGCTTTTTATAAATGTATACCTGTTCATTTATTCCCACATCGGATATTGATGGTTGACGCCTTGACGGGACGGCTTACAAATTGGGGGCATACATCACCTATCACCTACAAATTTTTACAAAACTATTGATAATTTTATCAAATTATCATAAAACTATATATTTAAAAGATGCTTCATAAAACTACAAATTTAACACCGGAGTTATTGTGAGACTAAAGATTTAAGGCATTGTATCCCAAAACTAGCACGGCCAATGAGACTACAAATTTCTAGATTCTATTCCAATCTCTTAGGAGGCTATCAAATAAATTTATTTATGAGGATGAAGTAAAACAATTTCTAAACTTAAGACTTACTTTTATGAAAACTCAAAGCACACTGTTTTAGTGTTCTACACTTGCATTACTTACTTACTTAGGGATGCAAACAAAGCAGATATTAACAAATAATACTCGTATCATATTTGTTTCATATTTTTAGTTGGATACGAAAACAAATATGAATAAATCTGTCGACGTTTGATGTCGCAATTCTGGTATTTACATGGTATAGGGATCGTTGGTACTAGGGTATACACGAGACTGAGGTAAAAGAGATGGAGACAGGGATTTTTATACAGGTTCGGGCCCCTGAATTGTCAGATAATAACCCTACATCCTGTTGGCTGAAGCCGGTCGTTGATCTTATTCACCATAATCATACCAGTACAATATTTTGGGTAGCCTATCTAACTGTTGTCGACATGGCGGTCTGAAGGTCTGACTCGTAGTCGACAACAGGGTAGTCTTCCTCCTCGAATCCATGCCCGGCGAGATCAGAGATAGCGCTTTCGTCTTTCCTGACAGTATCCGGAGACACCGTAGAGGACTAGCCATACCTATCTCCGAAGTTGATATCCGGCGTCTTGTCTTGGCTTATGTTGGCTTGTATGTTGTGGCTTCTGTTGTTCCGTGTATGTTGATTGTGTTGGGTGTGTATTGTCCCCCCTCTCCTCCTAGGGGGCCTTGTATTTATACCCATAGGTGTCCCCTTGTCCAAATAGAACTAGAGAAACCAATATGGATACAATCCGAGTAGTCCTTGTCGTTTCCATGTAGAACTTTGATTGTCTTTCCTTATCTGGAACTCCTCCTATATCCGAAGGTTGTTTCCGTATAGGACATGGTATGTGGTGGGTCTTGCCGAGATTTAGTCAACTACTATTAGGTATGTGGTATCCATAACCCTGACAAAATCGAATACATAAAGTAATAAAAATTATCTCAAAAATAAATAAGGATCGAATATGATCGGACATGAATATGAAAACAAACATTTCTCGTAACACCAAAACAACCCAAACTTCTATCTAATAGAAATAACTATCATCATACATAATATTGAGTTCAACACATATAACATTACAGCACAAATGCATGCTTAACTAATATTATAATAGATAACATATAATATAATTCATAAAATTATTTAAAAGTTCAAATAATATTAATAGGAGCTTATGCCACTGAGTTTATCTCATTTCAATAATTTGTCATCGACACTGTCTATTTCTATAAAATACCGGCAAGTTTATCAATTGTTCTGCATATGTTGTTAGGCAAGGTCATTGTCAGGGTTACGGGTTAGGTATACCCTTTACCCTTTGATATACGTCGCATATCGGTATGGTATACCCACGCGTATACGGATACTCTCCGCATATATTAAGGAAACCCCTCACGGAGTTTACAAATGGAAGGAGTCCTACTCGGACAAGACTGGGTCGTCAATGTATCGTGTAAGGTTCGATGTTTCCGAGTTCTACTTGGAAACCGCCTGACTTGTGATATAAAAGGGACCCCCCAGGGAGGACTTAGGGCATCGAATCTCAGATCCAACACAACCCTCACAGCCTACGAAGTCGGAGCCTGCAAGGAGCCAAATCGCCGGGGATCTAGTCGAACCAACTCGACCACAATCTCGCCGGATCCGTCAAGTTCCACTGTTCCCTTTGTAACCTGTGTTTTCCATCATATAATCCCACATCAACTGGATTAGGGCTATTACCTATCAAGGGGCCTGAACCAGTATAATCTTTGTCTTTTGCCTACTTGATGTCGTATTACGTAGATCCTTGTACCAACGTACCCCAATACCCTCTATATCCGGTCTACGGGTATCACCCGTCGACAGTGGCGCGCCAGGTAGGGGGACTTGGTACTCAAGGTTCTACTACTATGTTATCCGGCCTCGTCGACAACAGTGTCAACACCAACCTCGGCCAAGTATTCCCTGCTTCAACGATGCTGGTGTGGACTCAAGTCGGCGAAATCGTCTTCCCGGTTTACACCACAATGCCGATCTCAACCGGTCCGCCAATGACCGGAAACAAGAACGCAGTGGCTACAAACCAAGACGACTCCATGTCGAAAGATCCAACCTGTCGACAGACTCTGACCTCCACGTTTCACACATCTTCGGAGGTTCCACAACGTACTCCTCGAAGCGAGAGTACAAAAAAGTGGAACGCGAAGTCTGTTCAACATGGTAGGGGGCTGCACCCAAGATGAAGTGGTCTGAACAGAAGATAGAGTTCTCGGAAGAAGACCACCCCAAGACCGCCGTCATCCCAGGACGATATCCGATCATGGTTGAACCCACTATTCGGAACATCAAGGTCGCGCAGGTCCTCATCGACGGTGGCAGCTCAATCAACCTTCTTTTCGCCAGCACTTTGGACGCGATGGGAATTCCGCAAAGCGAGTTGACACCAACCGATCAACCCTTTCATGGAATTACACCCCAATCCTCATCCAGACCATTTGGCAAGATTACGTTGCCTGTGACTTTCGGCCAAGCCAACAACTTCCGAACAGAGCAGATCACCTTTGATGTCGCTGAATTCGATACAGCTTACAATGCCATCATCGGGAGAACTGCACTTGCGAAGTTTATGGCCGCATCTCACTACGCGTATCAAGTGATCAAGATGCCGGGACCGAAGGGAACAATCACTATTCAAGGGAACGCAAAGCTGGCGGTGCAATGCGACAAACGGAGCCTCGACATGGTCGAGCAAACGCCCAGCCCACCCGCCACGACTGAGCCACCCAAGAAAGTGAGCAAGACAAACAAGACGCCGAAACCGGACGGCGCAATCAAGATCGTTCCACTCTCCAGTGCCAACCCCGACAAGACCGTCAAGATCGGGGCAACACTAAGCGAGAAATAGGAACTCGCGCTCATCACCTTCCTCCGCGACAATGCTGACGTGTTCACTTGGCAGCCGTCCGACATGCCGAGGGTCCCCAGGGAGGTGATTGAGCACAAACTCATGGTGCGACCCGATGCCAAGCCAGTAAAGCAAAGACTGCGGAGATTTGCACTAGACCGAAAATAAGCCATACGAGAAGAGCTTGACAAACTTCTCAAAGCTGGCTTCATCAGAGAAGTACTTCATCCAGAGTGGCTAGTCAATCCAGTCATGGTGCGGAAGGCCAACGGAAAATGGAGAATGTGCGTCGACTTCACCGACCTCAACAAGGCGTGCCCCGAGGATCACTTCCCTCTTCCTCGAATAGATCAACTGGTGGACTCAATAGCCGGCTGTGAGCTGTTGAGCTTTCTCGACGCTTACTCTGGCTACCACCAAATCAGCTTGGCAAAAGAGGACGAAGAGAAGATAGCATTCATCACGCCGTTCGGGGTATTTTGCTATGTTAAAATGCCGTTCGGACTGATAACTGCAGGGAATACTTTCCAGCGCATGGTCCAGGGCGCACTTAGCGACCAGCTCGGCAACAATGTCGAGGCATATGTCGACGACATCATTATCAAGACCAAGACAGGCGACTCATTGATTGACGATCTGCGGGAAATGTTCGACAACCTCCGACGATATCGCCTTATGCTCAATCCAGAGAAGTGCACGTTCGGAGTACCGTCGGGCAAGCTGCTCGGTTTCCTTGTCTTTGGCAGAGGAATAGAAGCAAATCCCGAGAAGATCAAGGCAATTGAGAACATGAAGTCGCCCACAAGACTCAAGGAAGTACAGAAACTAACCGGATGGATGGCAGCATTGAGCAGGTTCGTCGCTAGGATGGGAGAACGAGGGCAACCTTTCTTCGCTCTGCTGAAGAAGCAAGAAAAATTTGTATGGACACAGGAAGCCGAAGAGGCATTCGTTGCACTCAAGCGCTACCTATAGAACCCCCCTGTACTTGTTGCCCCCCAACCTAATGAAGAATTATTCCTCTATATCGCCGCCACGCCATATTCCGTTAGCACCGTCATCGTTGTCGAGAGAGATAAATTACAACGACCAGTCTATTACGTCAGCGAAGCTCTCCACGACGCAAAGACAAGATATCCACAGATCCAAAAGCTGCTTTACGCGGTCATCATGACATCAAGGAAGCTACGCCACTACTTTCAAGCCCACAGAGTCACAGTTGTCTCCTCCTTCCCTCTCGGTGAAGTCGTGAGAAACAAAGACGTTGTCGGCCGCATTGCGAAATGGGTAGTCGAGCTGAGCCAGTTTGATGTCAATTTTGCGCTACGAACAGCCATCAAATCCCAGGTACTCGCCGACTTCGTAGCCGATTGGACTATGCCTGA